ACTCTTGTGTTGCCTGAGATTGAGCATGGTCATGTCACGCCTGCCCCTGCCAAAGTTCTTCGTGGAAGCCTACGTAATGGTGTCAAGCAGGTCTTAGTCCAATGGTGGGTACTTCTGAAGATGACACAACCTGGGAGCCGTTTGACGAGTTCGCTGCTCGTTTTTCCCTCCTTCCAGCTCGAGGGCGAGCTGTTTTTCGAGAAGGGGAGTGATGTTATGTGGGGCCAGACTTATAGCTGTAGGGTCAAATCTAATTAGCTAAAAACTTCATAGTCTGATTAGATAGAGAGAAAGAGTCCAGATTGTAATCAGTTTAGTTTTGCCTTGATGGGCAAGTTAGTTCTCCTATACGAAGGGACTTAACCCTGATAAAAAAAGCAAGCCAATGTGCAGAGTATTTACTTTACCATAGCTGCCTAGAGTAACTAGAAATTCGAGTTCTTCCAGAATGCTGAATTGTAACATCTCATCCTAAAACAAAAATCATATAGACGGAGAGTATTGTCATCACCTAACGAACTGTCATAGCGGCAAGTACCAGCAGGAGTTGATGGATTGAGTGGTGAGCCTGTACATGAAAAGATGTGCATGTTTAATCTTTTGCTGCCTGAATAAATAGGCAAAAAAGTGTTTGGACTTCAGAGCAAATGGCACTCAAGAAGTTTTCACTTACCAACATTTGGCGTAGGTGTCTGAGGCCCAGCTTTATTGTTCTTAGTCTTTGATTTAGAATTCTTAACAGCTTTTCCAGACACTGGGGTGAGTAGCGGATTGCCAGTAACTCCAGTGGTGACAATCATACAGTCACTCGACTCAGCCGCATTATTTTCTTCGCGTGTGGCTTTTCTTTTTAGCTGCAGAAGAGGGGACTTGTGTTATATGATGGTAAGACAGACTAGCTGACGTCTGGCAAGGATGTCTATCATTAACTATTTCAGATTTTGGAGAAAATGCATCAGCTCAATCACATACAAAATCCAATGACCTGACAGCATAATTCCTGGATGTAACCTAGAAGACACACAAAGAACTAGGAGCAACTGGCATCTCCATAGTGGCACTATATCATTTTATTGCACAATTGAACCTAATTTAATACACTTAGAATCCACATAGAGACAACTTTGTGCAGTGGTATTGCAATGACAGAAATCGCATGTGAAAACATAAGTGTATTGCGAAACGAGTAAACAGCTCGTATGTATTTGCAGCAAACAATTAGGATAAAAGATACCAGCATAAGAATTATTCAACAGCAATGACAGCCAAAATAGTTGCCTACGTTGTGTGATAATCCTACACCAAATTAGTTCATTAGATTCAGAGTATTTATAAACCATTTGAACAGTGTAGCCTATGACTAGTTGAAGCTTTGACCTATCTTTATTCAGTTGAGGGCAATAAAATGTACACCCTCCGTTGCACAATATAAGATTGTTTTTCAAGCTAACATAGCTTGAAGCTTGAAAACCGATCTTATATTGTACTACATGATAATTATCTCCCTATCAGAGCATTATGCATGTCTTCAACAGTTGCACTCATCTGGTAGTTCGAGCTTGCACAGAATCAGGTATAAGCGGCAAATGGAACTCAGCTGCTCTTCACTGTTACTTGCTGAAACTTGTTCAGTTGATGATATTATATTATTCTTAAACTGTTCAAGGTGCTAGACACACATGTTTCATCCACCATACAGGCTGCAGAGAAGGGTTGAACCCAAAACATACATACCAACATAAACCGATAAATCATTTCTGTTCGAGCTCAAAGGAGTTTTTGCAGAGCAAAAATACATATAAATTGCGGTTCAACCAATTCTTACTGCCAGCCATGTCATGCGGAAACAGTTGGCAAGTACTAATGAGGCTATATATTATTACCATATGTTGCCTAAGTATCTGTTTATTCAGGACCTCGCTGCAGGCAACATGTACAGGTGACAGAACTCTTCCTCTTTGTACCATTGAAGAATTGACATGAAACTTACCCACAATTCCAATTCTTGCTGTGGCACGACAATATGACATGAATATTTATTTTGTCGATCCACGTCACACAATTAACATAGTCCATGTTTATCTAACATGTAAACAATTGTAGGCACTGGGCATTCAAGCTTCCGAAAACAGAGACAACTTTGGGGAGAACAAGAAATTGAGAAAAAAATAAGGAATCTGCAAGTGGATCCTTCAGATACACTCAAATCAGCACATACACCCAACAAAACCCGCAAGCTCAGAAACCATTTGGTGTCTACAAAAACAGCTCAAATCACACACAAGCTCAGCAACACCCGCAAAAAATTAGAAGGAGAAACGAATAAATCGAGATCTCCTTGTGGAGCAGAAGTATCTCACCTGCGTCCGGATAACAAGCCCCTCATCAATATCGCCGCCAACACCACCGGAGCCGATGCCGCCGGAGCCAGTGGCAGAAGGGGTAGTCGGCGCATGAAAGCGGTGGTAGTCGTCGGGTGAGGCGAAGGGAGGCCGCGACGGCGTGGAGAACACCGGGGGCGGGCGCAGCGACTGCAGGATTTTCTGCGCAGCCGGCGGCCTGCCGCCCCCCGACATAAGCCCGATCTCGCGATCGCGCGCTGCGGGACCCCCGACTCCCGGGAGCGATGGGCGTCTTCGGCTTCAGAGAAGGCAGGAGGGCATCGGGGGGGGCTCGCCGGAGATAGGGTTCCCGTGGCGGCGGCGGCGGCGGGAGGTAGGTGGGTGGGGTTAGGGAGGTGGGAAAGGAGGGGAATAGAGGGAGAGAGCAGAAAACGAGGGAAGGAGGGAGGGAAATTAAGTACTAGGCGTTTGGGGGTATCGTCGGGGTTGGATATGGAGGGAACCCATTAAGCAGGCTGAATTTCGAATGGGCCACTTCCGTCCGCAACGCCACGCATCAGGACGATCTCCTTCTTCCTCAATTTTGCCCTTCCATGTTTATTATTTCAGAATTACTTGTCGCATAAATGGATGAAAATAGATGTATCTAGAATAAAAATACATCTAAATACATTCATTTTAACGGAAGGAGTATTTTTTCCTCAAATGATAAGTGTCACACATGTGATATGAAGTGACATGGTCCAAACGCTTTTATTATCATTTATTTTCCCACGTCAAACAAACCGACAGATCATCAAACAGATGACATCGATGGATTTTTTTTTGGTTTGTCAGACTTAAAAGTATTTTATCATTTAAATAAAAAACTGATTAAAAATCGTTTCCATCATTAAATCCGTCTCGAATAGATCTTCAAAATGATATCTCATATTAATATGTTTCGATGACTTTTTTGGAGCCAAAACTTGCCATGATGTTACACTAAAGTTGTCATAGTGTTTACACTAAAGTTGCCATGATATATTTCATCTATTTTTTTTCTAGATTTATAGCTAGCATTGTATTTCAACTACTTTTCTCAGGAAATTTTATTAATTGATCATGGCAATTTTTAATAATTAACCACAACAAATTTAATTCGTGAACGATGGCTATTTTTAGTAATTCATCATGTCAACTTTAGTTTATAAATCATGGCAATTTTAGTGTTTTGACCATGGCAATTCTAGTATTTTGATCATGAAAATTATTTTTTTATGAACCATGGCAAAATTTAGTGCATGTATCATGGCAAATTTAGGTAATTCATCATGGCAATTTTAGTTTCTGGTTCATGGCAGATTTGAGTCATTGAATATGCATTTTTAAAATAATTGACGACGGATTTCTTTTTAATTGTGAACCATGTCAAAATTATTGCATGGATCATGGCAAATTTTAGTAATTCTCCTTGGCAAGTATAGTTTCTTAATCCTCTTTTTTATAACATGTCAAATTTACTTTAAACGTTGAAGAAAAAATAGTAAAAATATATCATGGCAACTTCAGTATAAACACCATGGCAATTTATGTGCAATAGACATGGCAACTTTTGATCGCCAAAAATATCATCGAAATATATCGACATGGGATCTAGTTTTGAAGTCCTTGTCGCGACAGATTTAATGATGAAAACGGATTTTCAATCAGATTTTTCATTTAAGAGATAAAGCATTTTAAAGTTTAAAAAACCTAAAAGATTCCCGTTGACATCATCTATTTTTATCCCTGTTTGCATGCATGTGTGAAAGAAACAAAAAGACTGACGTATCACAAATGAGGGGCTAGAAGGGCGTTTGGCCCGACCTTCTTCAACCCACGCATGTAGGCGGAATTGCTTCGCTGTCGGAGGGATTGGCCATAGGTAGCCTCATTCACTCCCCTTAGCATTTCAAGACATCGGGGCTAGCAAAGCCCCTCACACCTTCCGAACATGCGGCCGGCTCCCAGAAGACGACGCGCTCTTAAAAGGCGGCTTCAGGGGGGCGGCTCCTAGCGGACGGCCCCTTCTCCCCTCGAAATCTACACCTCATCACTATGACAAGATGAGGCATGGCTACGTGGCCTCCCACTCCCTCGGATCACGGAGGAGCGTGGCTACGGTACAAGCTAACCAAGCGGACACTTGCCTGCCCAGCGCAGCACTATAGCCATGCGGCTCATGACATGGCCCTCTTCAACAGGGGCCATGTGCCCACGACGGGCAGTCGGTACGGCCCGCAAGCGGCGGGCCCTACCTGTCTGTGAGCTCCCAGAAGACGGTGCTCCCCTAGAAGGTGGCTTCAGAGGCGGCCAGCCTCCAGCAGCCGGCCCTTCCGTCCTCTCGGAGTCCACGCACCATTAATCCGACGAGACGAAGCATGGCTACAGTAAGCGCAGACCAGGCGGCGGGACTGTAGCCATACGGCTCCCGACAAGGCCTCCGTCATCAAGGGTGAGGCTACAGCAAAAGGCAATCAGTGTGGCCTGCAGGCGGCGGGCCCTACCTGATGCGGAGCATCCCAGGTTCATCCCCATGTACATTCCGACTACTCTCCAAACCCCAAGTGGACATATGACAAGACCTCGAACATACGCCATTGGACACAAGGTAAACTCGCTCCTCTCCGAACCATCACTTTCTACATGTGAGATATGGCTACTACCTCCAACGTGTGTTCTATGCATGATCAGGTACTTGGAGGAAAGCCACGAAGTCACCACATCCAACGGAACAGCTAGCGAGGACGCCAAGTACAAGGACCAAGAGAAGAAGATGCATGAAGCTACAGCCACCGGACGACCGGCCCAGCCCGGACGTCCGGCCCCTGAGGACCCGAGCCGAATCTACGGACGACCGGAGCCACCGAACGTCTGACGACTCCCAGCGCCCGGACGACCGCCAGACACCGGACGTCCGACACTCTCCAGCGCCCGGAAGACCGATGCCGACCGGACGTCCGACACCACCTGTCCAAAGGCAAAACGTCGGACGTCCGACATGCACCGGACGACCGGACCCTCGTGAGCCACCGGACGTCCGGTACCTGTCGGACGTCCGACGCCTGTGCGCCCGCCCGTGTGTTGGGCCGAAGCCACTTACCCTTTCATTCGCCTAGACTATATATACTCCTCCACCTCCTCCTAGTTAGGGCAGCATTGGTTTAGCTCATACTTAGAGATAGAGCTACGCTCATCCATATCAGATCTCCTCCGTGTGAGAGACTGCGGCCTCTTCGGAGAAGATCCCTTTGGATTCAAGCCCCCTTTCTAAGGGAAGATCCCCCCGTGGATTCAAGACCTCCTCACGGAGAAGACCGGCTACCCTTGTATCATCCTTAGTTGTTCATGGATCGTGTATGTTCTCTTATGTATTCGAGGATCTAGCGCATGTGTGATTATTCTTGTTGGTTTGAGTGTTCTCTTGTGTTCCCCTTGTGATTTCCCCCTCATTTCCCTCCTTGTGTTCTTCGTGTTCATCGCGGGATCCGCTCCTTTCGTGAAAGATCGGCCTATAGGGTCCCTACCCTACATCATCTTGGCATCAGAGCTTAGGTTTATCACGAATTTGGAGCCCCTACCCTCCTTTTTCTAGCTTGATTTTGTTGTGTTCTTTCCCAATTTCGAAAATCCCCACCAAAAATAGCCCCAAAATTTTTTGTGATTTGTTGGTTTGATGATGTTTTGTTGATTTTGATCCATGGATTTGCTTGGTTTCAAGTGGATCTAGCATCTCCCCAAGTTTCCCCATCTTTCATCCATGAAATCTCATCAATTTTGACCCCAAAATCATCATTTTCCGTCCAAAATCGCGTCCCGGATCTGAAATTTCGCGTTGACCCCGACCCACCGGACGACCGTCACCTTACCGGACGTCCGGAGCCGCAGGAATCACCGGATTTCCGACCCGACCAGACGTTCGGTGACCGGACATCCGTCCATTTCCGGACGTCCGCTACTTGTAAAAACTAACTTCGGCTGATTTTTGTTTAGGCCATAACTAATTCATCCGAACTCCGATTTTGACGTTCTTTAGCTCGTTTTGCAGCTCTTGATATCCCCCTTCCCACAAAAATACAACCAACATCTTTTGACTCCATCAAATTTTGACAATTTTGCCATTTTTGCCTAGGGCTTCCACCACATCATCCGCTACACCACCATCGACTTCCGCAACCTAACCAATTTTGTTCCCCATCACATTAGTGGTTGCTTGAGGAGTGATTTGAGTCTCCTAAGGTGTCTAGGCTACTTAGGACGGCTGCTTCTTCATCAACCACCACCACCACTTTCCGCATAGACTTGACCACTATACACTTCCGCCACCCCAACTTAACCCAATTTTGGTTGTGTTGTGAGTTGTGTCTCCTAAGGTGTTTCGGCTACTTAGGGACCGTGCTTCCTACTCCGACACCGTGTATAGTACACCACCATAACCTCCACTCCCGCATTGCGTACTCCACAACCCATCATTGCATTTCCACAATCCTTTTGAGCTTCTGCAACCACCACCGCATCCCGCTACCACCATTTTGACATTTGAGATTTTGGGTTCGCGGCTTTTACGTTTCCTAAGGTGTTTCGGCTACTTAGGGACGAGTCTCCATCAAGATCACCGCCACTCATCATCGACATGGACGGTAACCTCCATATCATCTTGGTATCGTGGTATCCCTTCATTTGTATATTCCCTTGCCATTGCATTGATAACCCATAGCCCATTTTGCGTCACTTGCCTATCGAGACTAGCCATTTGAGTATTGCCGGCAACGTTACTTGTGCACATTAGTGATCTACACCATACATTGCATACATACCATATCATATTGGTATCATATCATCTCGTGTGCCTCAAGTTTGTTCCCGCATATATACAATTGCTACCTTGGTTTGTGCATTTCGCAAAGTGGCCATACAAAAAAAAGAGAATAAGCTTTTAAGCAAAAGATAAAGAGCAAAGAAGCTTGTAAGCAATAGCCATAGCATCATACCACATTGTCATATAAGATCATCTTGGATCATAACACCGGGAACCATATATACATAGCATACTTGGGATAGAAGTCGTTGCATTTTTGTCTCCTATAGGTTG